GGGGGGGGGGGGGGGGGGGGGGGTGCAAGGGCTAAAAAAAAGCAATCGGAGTATAGAGAAAGCATATCTATCTTTTAATTTGAAGCCTGAATGCAAGCCATATCTAGCTTCTCTTCATGTTTACTATTATTCCTACACGGAGACCGACATTCACTAGCAGGAAATAGAAGCTGCCTATTTCATAAGCTATCCATTAGAAAAAATAGCTAAAAGTTCCAAGCTTCAGACTACCCAATATGTCATTGTTCTTTTCTCCTTCTCTTTTAGGGGTCTGGTTGCAATCTAATGAAAAGACAGCTTATGATCAGTAAGACCAAAGCAAATGCTTTAATTTTCCAAACTCAAAAGACATGTCGATGAACAGCTTAAACCTACTAGAACGTCCTTCTACTAATGAAACTGAGACATGTAACGACTTATACAGAAGCTTAGCCATGAAGAAGAAACAAAGTGATGGATCAAACAGGGTGATGGATCAAACAGGGATTTGCCAATTGATATATCAACTACTCAAATCTAACTAGTTCCAAACCGATAATAAATGTATGATCAGAGAATCTCAAGTATGAAAAAACTATCCAAAAAGGAGAAGGAAAAAGCATCCTGTCCCCTTGGTTCAGTTGACAGTTTATATAAGTCAACAATCTTTAGTCTAAACTATATATATAAACAAAAAAGAAAGATTATTCCCATTCAGATACTAAGTAAGACTGTTGGTAGCTGGAAACCATTTTTCTTCTCTTCAAACACAAGAAAATGCACGCAGGGTAGAGCTCAGGAGAAGATTCGAGAATAGTGTAAGGTTATCTCCTCAAGATTTACAAAAAAAGAAAAAAAAAAGTTTCAAACCTTTAAGCATGCACCTCAATAGACTGCTACCCTTACTAAGCATCTTTTACTCGACGAGAAGAAGATGAAAACTTAAATTGTTCTGCCAATACAGACTTGGTTAAACAAGAGTGAGCACTGTGAGACCGAAACAACAAGCTTAAGCATCAGAATTTGTGTTGCCAGATAGAATATTGTTTTTCTTAACAAACCAAGATGCATCACTCTTTAATAGTTTTCAAATATGAATCATGCAATTTGTGTTAGACAAAATTACCGCAATAAGACCTCCACCACCAGGAAAACTCTCAGTCAATGGGATCTCTTCGCTTGAAGGAAGTAGACCTTGCTTCTCAACCCACTGGCGAGCCATATCAACAAGATTGCCACTGCTTCCTCTAGTGCCCTCCTTTGTAGCAATATCTGCTTTATTGCCAATAACAATGTAAGGAACAGGGAGACCACCAGGACCTCCTGAAGCTAGAGGAGCCGAGAATGTCCCAGCTGTTGCTATCTCTACAGCCCACTTCTGCAAGCTTGTCTTTGTCCTTCTTTGAGATAGATCGTATACAAAGATAACACCTAAAGTGGAAATTAACAAATCTTACATATTAGATTTCGTCCGACTATCATCAGGATGAATAATTCTACAAAGTGATCTCTTCCCACCTCCTAGAGAGAGATAGTATACAAAAGTAACACCTAATGTGGAAATAAAAAGGATTTCATCCGACTATCATCAGAATGTATACTTCATGGAAAGAAAGCCGTCCACTGCCCTCTCCCAAATGAAGGAAAAATGTAAATAATAAAAAAATTGATGACAACAAACATGTGAAAACATCTCTGATTGAGTGATTTCTGTTAAAATAAACAAACATAATCAGATATCTAGTACATGTTCGTGCTTTAACCATCTTCTGACATTAATGATCAGGTATTAGACACAGAGTCATCCAGAATAGATATCGTACATGTTTCCGCAAGAAGAAAATTTTAGGCAGAAAAAAATAGTTTAAGAGATGAAGCTAGTTGCTCACCATTAATTTGTGAGTAGAACAGAGATCGGCAATCTTTATAACGATCATGTCCTGATATATCCCAAAGTTCAATAAAAAAATCTCTCTCGGCATCACCTTTTATGCTTGTTGATGAGCTACCAGAATTTCCATAGGTGGTGTGCTTTACAGAAGAAACAGGAATAAATTAGTTTTTATAGGACGTGCATTCTCAGCACATTTTCATATTATAGGGAGAACAAAATTATCAGTGAGACGTACTTTTACTCCGACTGTACAGCCAATTGTTTGAGGAGGGCGAGCAATGGAAGAACCATTGAGAATCAGATGAACAAGAGAAGTCTTCCCCACACCTACCAGAAAATATCAAGCAGAAAAAATGGTGAAACTAGGAGCTGAAAACAAGGAATCACTGTGTATAAATAAAAACAGAGAAACTAAAATCCAGAACTTCTTACAAAGTCTGAATATCAAGGGGAGAAAAGCTAATGCCAAATAAAAAAGACTTGAAAACTTAATAAGAAGACTACATCAGAATGAACTTAGAGTATATAAATTGGAAAATAAAACCTAGTGTATCCAAAGAAACATTGATTGAATGTAATACACAGAGGGCATTTGAAAATGATATCCAAAGATAGTGATACATTTTGGATTGGGCAACTAAACCTAGAAGATAATTATTAGAGCAAGTGAGGCTATTGTTTAGACTAAGTGTTCAAATGAACAATCAGATTGTACATCCTGTTTTACATACTGTTGTATCGAAAGAAATTCATTTTACTCTTAATAATCATAATACAACAACAACATATCTAGTGTGGTCCCATAATTGGGGCCTGAGGAGGGTAGTGTGCACGCAAACCTTACCCCTATCTTGTGAAGGTAGAGAGGTTGTTTCCGATACATTTATCTATTCTTAATAATCAGCATTCCCATACACTTACACCATCACCAAACAGCTCTTAAGAAGGTGTTCTATAAACTCTTAACATATTAGGAATCATCTCACCACAGCTACGAACCAGACTGTACGATGATACTAAGACGTGGTCACAAATTAAATAGTTTGGATCAATCATTACAATATTTATCAAACAAATGTAACAGTATCCAGTACCCATATCCTCCAGATTTAGTAGGTTAAAAAAATTCTTTCAGTTATAAAACAGTTTAATGGCTCATCACCAACTTTTTAGTAACAATAGAGAACAGGAGCTCCCAGATTCTAAATAAACTCTTCATCATCTTGTATTGACCTAAATTTTCCAAATTGCGAGAAGTCCGAAAGAACTTATGTCTTTGTTTTTTTGGATAAAGGTGGTGTCCAAGCCGGTCGCTCATCTCGACTATTCCACCGGGTACCTGATAATCCCAATTCCATTAGCACAGGTATAACCTCCTTCATTGACCTCTACGCCACAACCATTAGATCAATCCAAAGCAATTATGTCTACAAATCAGAGACCTCTGTATTATTAGAATCTATTAGTTATCTCCATTCCTCAAGCATTTCTAAATCTATGCAACTACATTTTACCACCAAACACCAAGCTACAGACTAGAAATCATATTCAAGAAGATACATAACCAGTAAGATGCATAACAAAACATAGCAAAATCATATAATAAAAAGATGAAAAATAAAAGCATTTAAATTTAAGCTAAATACCTGAATCTCCAACAACAAGCACCCTGACTTGTCCACAAGGTGGACCACCATTTTGCTCTTTAGTCTCCCTTTCCCTTTCCCTCCAAAACATCATCTCCTCCTCCGGAAACCCAAATCAAAAACCAACAGAGTACAATCCAAATAAGAAAAGAACAAATTTTGAAACCAACCCAAATCAGCTAATCAACTCAAGTACCATAAAACACACTGAATCACCACAATAAACGACATTTGTTCAAACCCATATCACATAACAAATACTACCCACGAAATACTTCAGTTTCAAGAACCCATCTCCCATAAGATTCAACACTGCACTGAATTAACCAAAAACGCAATAACAGTAGATCTATTAACAAATCTTGAAATGGGTGAATTTAACTAAGGTATATTTTTGCATTAAGAAACAGAAAAGAAAACGGATTGGGGTTTTTGATTTTTCAGTATAGTAGTGATTGGAGTATAATTTGTGAAGTTTTTTTGAGTTAGATTCGTGTAGAGATCGAGCGAGGTTTGTTCATAAAGCGCTATGAAAAGACAGTTTAGACGGTTGATGTGTCACCGATCAGTGAATTAAGCAACACTCTTGAAAGCCAAAAATATTTGTTAGTTTTCGTCGGCAATTTTCTCTTTTCTCTCCAATTGTTTTATATTTCTATTTCTATGTTTCTTTTCCTTTTTTCCTTTTTTTTCTTTTTTTTCTCCTTTTCTTTTTTCTCGTTTTCTTCTTATTTTTTATTTTTTCCTTTTCTAATTTCATTTAATTTTTTTTTATATTCTTTTTCTCTTCATAATCTAATTTCTGTTCACCATTTATTTTTATTTTTATATAACTAGTACTATAATATACCTTTTGAAATAATCTATAAATTGAAATAATATCAGTTGTCACTTGATCTAATTCACTGAATATCACACTGACTGTTGTTGAGCACCATAAATTACATAATCAGATTCTAAGAATCGACGCATGATTGCCATGTAATAAATTATAACATCATATTGTATATTATAATAATATATTATTATAATAAACTATATACTATAGAATTATATATTATATACCAAAATAGCATACAATATATGAAAATAATATTTTATGTTCTTCATTCAACATTACACTATTACATTAAAATAGTATATTATTATAATATATCGTATACTATTACAGCATACTATTGCAGTATATTGCACATTATTACAATATACCGTTACAGTATATTATATACAATAGTAGTATACAGTTGCAATACAGCTATATACTCCTACAATATATTGTATACGGTAATGGTATACTTTTAGGTAATTGTGTTCTTCTCCGATTATTATAGTATAATGTTGCAGTATAATGTATACTATAATAATATATTGTTGCAATATAATTATATACTTCTACAACATATTGTATACCGTAGCAGTATACTATTAGGTAACTATGTTCTTCTTCGATTTTCAATTGAAAGATTTGATCTCAATCACCTCAAATCAACTTCAAATGTGATCAAATTTCAGTATGAACTTCGAGAAGGTACTATAAGCAATATATAATAACACCCACTTTGAATCAAATAAGAAATCTTCAAAAACAAAAATTGAGCTTCAAGCCAACAATGGTGGTATTCAAACACACATAAAAATTCAGATTTGGGAAGCTTACTCGAAGGTACTATAAGCAATATTTTATAGCACCCACATCGAATCAAACAATAAATCTTCAAAATAAAATTTCAAATTTAGAAGCTTCAAGCTCAACAATGGTGGCTCTTCATACACACACAAAGCAATAGCTTGGGTTGACCATCTTAATGAAGATCGATCTGGCAGAGAAGAAGTAGAAATATTCAAGTCCACTACCAGGTAATCTTGCAAAAATGAAGTCGAATATTTTTAGCATTCTATACTTAAATGAGAAGATGGGTGGCTCGGGTAAATAGTTTGGGCTGCATAGGTAGGAAAAGTAAATAGTTTAGGTTTGGGTATAAAAGGGTAAATAGTTTGGGTTTAATGGGTATAAAGTGAGATTTTTTCAAATAACAAAGACAAGTTTGGGCCCAAGAAGTGCTTCTACTGAAATCAACATAGCTCGTAAAGATGACTAGTTACTCAAAAGCGAGAATGACACAGTTACCCACAAAAATAAAATTATTTACCCTTGTCTACCTATTTATTTTTCTACCCATCAAACTAATTATATTTCCTACCCATAGTAATTTTTGTGGGAAATTTTTTCTTTATTCTCCAATTCTTTTTTATTTCTATGCTTCTTTTATTTTCTCCTTTTCTTTTTCTCGTTTTCTTCTTCTTTTTTTCTTTTTTTCTTTTTTTTCTTTTCTAATTTAATTTAACTTCTTTTTTTAATATTCTTTTTCTCTTCATAATTTAATTTTATTTACTGTTTTCACTATTGTTTGTTATTATTCTTTTTTTATATACTATTACTAAAAAAAAATTAAATTGTGTACCAATTAAATGTAGCTAATACAACCAAAAAATATTCACTAACATATGATACTAGTATAGTATATAGCTATACCAACATGGTATACAATTGTACGCAAAGAGTTAAAATATTTTTTTTCTTGTTTTGAGTTTCAAAATAACCACAAACTCAACAAACCCAATTTATGAGTTTCAAAGCTTCAAGGTCCTCCAATGGCAGATTAATATTTTGCGGAAGTCAGAAGTCTTGGAAATCATAGAATAAATCAAAACGAAAAAAGGATTTGCATTTTCAATTTGCATCTCACGCTGGGTAAAAGCTTAAAGCAAATTAAAAGGGAAAAAGCAAGTGAATTTACGGGTAATAAGTATACTATTATGGTATATTGTATGCTATTACAGCATACTGTTACAGTATATTGCATATTATTACAGTATACTATAATAATATATTGTATACTATAATAGTATACTGTTGCAGTATAACTATATACTCCTATAGTATATCATATACTGTAGCGGTATACTGTTAGGTAACTGTGTTCTTTTTCGATTATTGCAATATACTGTTGCAGTATATTGTAAACTATAATAGTATACTGTTGCAGTATAGCTATATACACCTACAGCATATTGTATACCATAGCGGTATACTATTGGGTAGCTGTGTTCTTCTTCGATTTTCAGCTGAAAATTTCGATCTCAATCACCTCAAATCAGCTCCAAATGCTATCAAATTTCTGTATGAACTTCCAGAAGGTACTATAAGCAATATTTAACAGCACCCACTTTGAATGAAACAAGAAATCTTCAAAATAAAAATTTTAAATTCAAGAGCTTCAAGCCCGACAATGGTGAATATTGAAATACACATAAAAATTCAGATCCGAGAAGCTTACTTGAAGGTACTTTAATCAATATTTTAAAGCACCCACATCGAATCAAACAATAAATTTTTAAAATAAAATTTTAAATACAGGAGCTTCAAGCAATGGTGGATCTTCATACACACACAAAAATAAGAGCTGGGAAACCTAATATATAACTGCAACAACACATGGGTTCAGAAATACAAATAAATACAAAAAAAATACTAATATAGAAAGAGGATTTTGGAGTGAAACTCATGTACAATACTGGCACGCCCAATGGGACCATCTCTACCTCTCATCTCTTTTTTTCCATGTTCAAGAACAAAATCTAACAATTCGACCATAGAAGAATAAATTGCAAATTTGACCAAAGCACTTGAGAAGTTGACCAAGTATGTGGAGGATCGAGATACTCGCCTCGAAAAGTTAGCAAGTGAGATTGAGAGCTTAGCATAAGCAAAATTAATTCAAGCACCTGTGGATCTTTCCGAAGATAAAGAAGAGGGAGAATCATCTGCGAGGCAAATGATAGTGGTCAAAGAGATCCAAGTTTCTTCAGAAGGTCTAATTCATGTTAATCAATTGAAGGACTTCATCATGGGGACAATGGAAGATAAAATTGATCCTCCGATTAAATCTTCCCTTGCATATGCAAAGTCATACACACAACGGATTGATAACTTGAAGATGCCTACTGGATATCAACCTCCAAAGCTTCAACAATTTGATGGAAAAGGAAATCCCAAGCAACATGTGGCACATTTCGTCGAGACATGCAACAACACTGGGACTTATGGTGATCATCTTGTCAAATAGTTTGTTCGTTCTCTCAAAGGTATTGCATTTGATTGGTACACAGATCTCGAACCTGGTTCTATCGATAGTTGGGAGCAGTAGGAGCAAGAGCTTCTCAATCGTCTCTATAGCACAAGACGCATCATAAGCATGATCGAACTTACAAACACTCATCAAGGAAAGGATGAACCAGTTATTGACTTCATCAACCGCTGGAGGAGCTTAAGTCTCAACTGCAAAGATCGCCTTAGCGAAACTTCTAGCATCAAAATGTGCGTTCAACGCACGTATTGGAGTCTTCGCTATATCTTACAAGGCATAAAGCCCAAAACATTTAAAGAACTAACAACTCGTGCATATGATATGGAATTGAGTATGTCTACAAGTGAAGATCAAAGATTTCCTGGCTTTGAGCCTCCTGACGAAATAGAAGCAGAGGATGCTGAGAATGGGGGCAAGTATTCATCCGAGGATGAAACTGAAGAGTCCATGCATGTTGAAATGCTCATTGACGCATGAATGCTCCTCAACGCATGAGCCTAAACTGCAAGTTATAGTGCTCCTCAATGCACAAGCTTAAACTGCAAGTTATAATGCTTTTTGGCACATGAGCCTATACTTTATGTCACGAAGCTCCTCAAATTTGAGCTAAATCTTCAAGACGTAAAGCTCTTCAAATTTGAGCAAAATCTTCAAGTTGTAAAGCTCTTCAAATTCGAGCAAAGTGTTCAAGTCGCAAAGCTCTTCAAATTCGAGCCAAACCGCATGTCATGAAGCTCTTCAAATTTGAGCAAAATCTTAAAGTTGCAAAGCTTCTAAAAATACGACATTAAATCACAAGTTGCCACGCTCCTCAAAGCACGAGCCTAAACTGCAAGTTATAATGCTCCTCAATGCACGAGCCTAAATGGCAAGTAATAATTCTTCTTGGCACATGGGCCCATAATGTATGTCACGAAGCTCTCCAATTTGAACTAATCTTTAAGACGTAAAACTCTTCAAATTCGAGCAAAGTCTTCAAGTAGTAAAACTCTTCAACTTTGAGCTAAATCTTCAAGACACAAAGCTCTTCAAAAATTCGAGCTGAACTTCAAGTTGCAAAGCTCTTCAAAATTGAGTAAGTCTTCAAGTTGTGAAGCATTTTGAACTTTAAGCTAAATCTTCAAATTACTACGCTCCTGGACGCACGGGCCTAAACTGCATGTCATGAAACTCTTCAAATATGAGCAAAATCTTCAAGTTGCAACGCTCCTGGACGCATGAGCCTAAACTGCATGTCATGAAGCTCTTCAAATTTGAGCAAAATCTTCAAGTTGCAAAGCTCCACAAAATACGAGCTTAAATTTCAAGTCGCTATGCTCCTTAACGCAAGAGCATAAACTGCATGTTACTCCTGGCCCGCAAGAGTATAACTGTGTACGGCCCAATAAAAAAAGAGTTTGCTAGGTTAAAAATCTCGAAAGAGGCGGCCCAGGAAAAAGTTAAGACATTAAAAAAAAAAGAAAAAAA